ACAATCAAAACTAAAGAGATGGAGGAGCAGGTCGAGATCAAAGTAAGTTGTTGATGTTATAATAAAAGTGTTTTTATTTTATTTCTCATGACTTGAGTAAAACTTGTTTCATTAAAGAGAAAATACATTCCTTGAATATTAAATGATCCAGTGAGACATACCGGTATACATTTCTCCTCTAATCATAAATCTTTCTTTGTAGAGACTACGCACAGAGAACCGGCTCCTGAAGCAGAGGATCGACACGTTGGAGAAGGTGAGTTTTCGTAAATGGTTTGCCAAACGTTTAACCCATCAGCATGACAAGCCGCCATCGAGCTGTGTGCTCCCATGTCATCCTCTCCAAAAGGCAAACTCAGTCTTTGCCATTCACTAACCGCCTGTGTCCGCAACCTCGCAGGCATCAAACGCATTCATTGTATTAAACAAACACATTTCCACAAATCCTCTGTTAACTCGGGGCCTCGCGTTGAATGTGGACGTCGTCTGCTTGGTGTTTTAACGCTCCGTAAGGCACTGCATGTCTGGACGAGAGGTGACAAAGAAACCTGCATGCTTAAAAAAGGACTCTTGGGAAAGCATCTGGTGCCAAGAAGACTACAACAACTTCAACATTATGCTTTCTGCCGCCTCATCACCACCCACTAAAACCAAGTCCCATTCATTTAACATAGCTCCACAAAGTCACTGCTGTCTGCTGCTTCTGCACTTTTCAATTCACAACCTTTGCATGCAATTATAACTTTCCATTTTCCTTGTCTAAACACAGCCACAGTCATATCTAGTTGAAATTGAACTTGACACTTCTCTCTAAATCTGTATTTGTGTGTGCTTTAAATGGTCTTCTGGTTTTCTCTCCCTCTCTATTTGTTGACATGTCTTTTTTGTAGGAAAGTGCTTCCTTGGCAGATAGATTGATACAGGTATATTTATTTTCTCTTTATTAAGTTACTTCTTTCCTTTCTATTCCTTTATCCTGCATGCTTAGGGTCTGCACAAAGTACATGATAATTAAGCCTGGTCAGCCATTTGTCTTCTCACAACCAGTGTCCAATACAAGAATACTAAACCTCAAATGACAATTGGAAATAAAGTTTGCATTTTCTCTATACAATTAGGGTTTTTCATAGTTAGTGAAGCCATTGTATGTTTTCTCCAAAAGCCACAAGGTTCCATTATTTAATCTGAAAGTAGATTCAGTGAAAATCTATGCATTAGCAATACATTTTTATATCATTTTAATTAGATTAAAAACATGGGATACTTCCATGTACTTGGTCCAATCATGGTGTATTCACATGTTGATTCTCCCTCTAAAAATCTTTGTACCTTCTTCTGAGCTTTTATCATTTTTAAATGCTTTGTTTACCATTTTTCCCTTAAGGAAATTCCAATATAATCCACTATCCACTATCAGTGGCTATCATCTTTTAAAAACTGAGACACATCTTGGGTTTTTCGGGTATAACTACTGTCGATCGATTATACTGAAGCCAATGAGTTCAAATTGCATGAATCCTACATTTGGTGGATATTTTTTTTTTGTTGTTGTTGAAATTTAGGACTCCTTTCTTTTCTCTATGTGGCTCACCAGGCTAAACGATCCAAAACTGCATAAGTCCTCAATTGGGTTTAAATCAAAACTGTAATCACTGTCAGAATAAACTAGCCCATTGTAAGTTATGAAATCCGTAGTCAAAGCCTTAGAACCCCCTGACCCTCCACCCCCTGCCCGTCCGTTTCCCCCCCATCACCGCTCCTGTGGGACTCTGACCCGTGTGGATGTCATAAAGGGGCAGGTGACGCGCGCTCAGGAGGCTGAAGAGAACTACCTGGTCAAACGGGAGCTGGCCACAGTCAAACAGCAGAGTGAGGAGGCCACAGTGCAGCTGGAGCAGGCCCTGAAAACCATCAGCAAACTGCAGGATCAGCCACACGCGGTAAGGGGACCACCACTGCGCCCTCTAGTGGTCCAGCCAGGCACAACAGCATCGCCGCTCTATTGTAATTTACAGTACTTGCTTTTTCAGTGTTTTTTTTGTTTTTGGACATATGATTTTAAACAAAATTTAGTTAAGGAGCTTTTGTATAAGGAACTTCTAGAATTTGTGGTGTTTTTATCTGTGTGTCACATTATTCTATTGAGATCTCGAAGACATCTCTGAAACTCACAGGAGCTGAAGGCTTTTTTTTTGCCAAAACTAAGACTAAGCTTGCCATCACTACCACAAAAGACTCCACCCTGTCATAGTTTAAAAGGAAATACACAATATTAAGAACCGGGGGATGGAAACTTCAGATCAGGGTCATTTCTTCCTGTCCTCATTATAATTTAGAATTTAAATTCATTGAATATGTGTGGTGTGTGAAGCCATTTTTCCAGTACAAGTCATTGTTCATAATCTCAAAACAAAACAAAAATGTAAACTTTCATCTGTATAAGGGACTAAACAAGAAAAAAAAGCATTCACTCTTTAGTTGCATTTAACCTGGAAATGATCATTTATTTCTGTCTTTCTTCATGCATGAATTGAAATCCGGACACGGCAGCTGCGTGGGCTGTTTTGCAACCATCACAAATGCTGTTCACAGAGCTCCTTGACTCCCTGGTCACATCTCGGAATAATGTGGCATCATATTAATTATGAATGTAGAGTTTTTATGATGATGCTCTGCAGGTACTCTACATAATTTCTCATTATGTTTCACCAGGAGCAGCGCTGAATAATTGATTGAAACAAGACAGAATGATTTCCTTCTGCTTATTTCAACAGTGAAATGGGTTCAGTCAAATGTGTGAATGTGTGATGTGTGAATGTGTGATGTGTGAATCAGATCCATATTTAGACAATGATATTATGACTCTTTCACTTTTGAAAAAACGTCCTTGAATATTAAACTATAATTATTAGACTTGTGTTTTGTGTAAAGTGCCATTTTCCCACAAACCTGTTGCAAAATGAAAAAGAAAAATTATTGTTATATTGTTACTCGAATATATTGCAGTTAATTATAATATTCAAACTGCTAAAATAAGCTGTAAATGCCCCAATAATATCAGATAACGTGATCAATCAAAAAATAGATAGCAGACAGATCCAATAATGACTTCCACCCTCACTAAAACTATCATGAATTTCAGAAATGTTGGTTATTGCAAAGAAAATATACAATTATTGATCCATTAAACCCCAAACGCCAGGCCATTACTGTTTAGTTTGGGTCCTAGTTTATATTCATACTGTCCTTATCTTGTGCGTTGTAGAAGGGGGTCCCTCGGTATTCGGAGGAGGCCATGCTGCAGCTGGAGAGAGAGTTGGTCCAGGCTCGACTGAAGGAGGCGGAGTCTCAGTGTGCGCTCAAAGAGATGCAGGACAAGATCCTGGACATTGAGAAGGTGAGATTAACATTTGGGAAAAAGTTGTTTCTTCTCTTATTTTTGGTACCAATTCCAATACCCGAGAGGGAAGAACTTGTCTTAAAGCAAAAATTATTTTTGGCCCTTTAGAATTATAATGACACCTTTTACTTGTTGTTATTCTGTAGAGTGTGATAGTAGTACAATGACATAATACTTTTCCAGGACTGAGATGGGAGCTTTTAGACAGAAGGGGCGGAGTTGCAGATTACAAATCGGAAAAATATATCTATAGTTTAAAAATGTTGAAGTTTCAAATATACCTAAAGGGTTCTGTTCCACCAAACATAATCCAGGATCTGTGTGTTAGGGTCAGGCGTTTTATCTTCCCCTTTCTTGGATTGTTAATTTTTTTCTCAAATATCAACACGTTTTAAATGGCGTGTTAAATGGGCTAGCTAGTTATCCCAGGTCTGAAGTGACACAGGAAATGTAATGATAAAAAAATACGTAGAGCCTTTGGTCCATAAGGGGCAGATGATCAATGTCCATAAATATTGCGGCACGGTGGCTGAGTGGATAGCACTCTCGCCTCTCAGCAAGAAGGGCCTTTCTGAGTGGAGTTTGCATGTTCTCCCCGTGTCTGCGTAGGTTTCCTCCGGGTACTCCGGTTTCCCCTACCACTAAAAATATGTACAATAGGTCTGGCATGCGCCTCCTGTTCGGCGACCCCGCTCCCATCTCTGTGTGGAGTGAGAGGACAAATGCCCAAAAAAAAAAATAACAATTGTAAACCGCTTTGTGACTCTGGTCTGTGAAAGGCGGTATATAAATAAAGCTTACTTACTACTTACTACTACTTACTTACTATTGTTGAGTGTCCTGAATCATCACCACTCTCCTTAGACCCTCATGCATCTGCAAAGGAAAAACCCTGCAAAGGAAAAACCCAGTGCCAAACTCATGCCATATTCTACAGATTTGATTCTGTGCTGTAGTTGTGAAGCAAAGAGCGACACATGACACAGTGTTTGTTGCGTTTGCAGAGGAACACGTCTCTGCCCGATGACACTAACGTGGTTCGGCTGCAGGAGGAGTTGATCGGAGTGAAGATCAGAGAGGCCGAGGCGCTGACCGGACTGAAGGAGCTGAGGCATCAAGTGCACGACCTGGAGGACCACTGGCAGGTCTGGACTCAGAATGACACTTTAGTTGGGTTTTCAAAGCATTAACAAAAGATTGAATTTGTACCAAAGTAAAGGAACTGTATGTAGTTATTGCTCTTTCTCATGTTGCCAGTGTCTTACCTGCACATAGAGCACTCACACACATGTTGCTACTGCTCCTCATACTGGCTGCCTCGCTTCTGTGTTGTCAGCGTCACTTGGCGCGTACGAGTGGCCGGTGGAAGGACACTCCGAAGAAGAGCGCGGTGGCGGAGCTCCAGGATGAGCTCATGACTGTGCGTCTGCGGGAGGCTGAGGCGCAGGCCGAACTCCGGGAAACCAGGCAGAGGATGCTGGAGCTGGAGACACAGGTGAATAGGCCTGTCGCACTGAGAATCAAGTTAATTTTGTTCACTTCAAAATCACAACAACCAAAGGACCTGTCCACTTGTCAATAGCAGATTATCCCAAGTTACATACAAAAATATTTCAGCTCGTTATCTTTCTTGCAAATCTATTGAATTTATTTGGACAAGACAATTACAAATCTTCACAGGACCTAGGCAATGGATGAATGTCCCAGATTATCACTGTTCTTAAATCCATTCACAGTATTTAGACCCAATCCAGTGGGAGAGAGGGAAACCTCAAAAAGAACCACAGTTAAGGAGAGATCCACTCTCATGGATGGACACATTAAATCTTTTGGGATTCTTATAATGAGACCATTCACTATTTTCATATCTGACACAATTGCATTATTGCATTGTCCAGTTATCTATTTTTGAACTATTCTTCAAACAGCTATAAAAGTGACCGATTAGACCATTTGCAGCTAGAACAGCATGTTATATTCCTGTAGTCACCATAGTTGCAGATATGAGAAAGTTGCTCTTTCCTCATTCAGCCAATTTTACTTGAAACTGCATGGACTTGATGAAAATAATGTACAAGACATAATGTCTTGCTATTGCTAGAATTGCGTTATTTGGATGTAATTTCATAGAGCCGCCTCTAGAGGGAAGCACATGCACTGACCTCGATATGTTTGTGTACAGAATCAGATCCACAGTAACCAGCTGAGGAGAGCGGAGCAGGAGAGCCGATGTCTGACAGAGCGAGTCCAGACCCTGACCACTCAGAACAAGGATCTACATTCACAGCTACAGGAGATAAAGCGCAGACAGGCAGAGATTGAGTGCAAGGTACCACACGCTGAAGGCCGGGGCGACCAGATTGTTTTTAAAGGGGAAATAATGTGCAAAAATGACATGCAACAGGTTTCAAACTTATTCTAGTAGGAATTTACACATCCACGTTATCTTTGATTGAGAAATTCATCCATGTTAGAGTAACTTATGTTTGTCTGAAGCTGTGATGCAGTCAGTAATTTTTTTTCCAGACGCAATTTTTTTAATATTGTGGGAAAACGTCCCTAAACCCTAAAAGTTATCATGTGTTTTCAAATAGTTATGGAATTGACCAGATACCTGTAGTCTCCAAAAAATAATAAAACATATTTTGGAGCGGTCCGATAAAAATAAACCAATGGGATTCGTTCAACACAAACAAACCAATGGGATGCGTTTACCCCCCTTCACCCTCTTGCTGTTTCTCGCGAGTGCGTGCAGTTATCGGATTTTCTAAAACCTAAAAGGGCTGAACAGAAAATGCCAATTTTACGTTTTCCACCCACTCTCCCTGTTGTGACAAAGAAAAGACAATGCTGGATGTTTGGTTTGGTGGAGAAGCGAGGGGAGGGGGGGAAGTGGTTTCGAGTTGGTGCTACGGCTAAGCTAACAGCATCGCTTACTGCACCTTAAAGTAAAAAAATGCCAATTTCCAAGATGAGCTAATCAATCAATGAAACTTTATTTTAAATTTATTTTAAAACAAAATATGTAGCGCGTTGTTTTTTTTTTTTGATGAACTGTAAAACTGTAAATAATAAGATACATGGTAGACTGTATCCTTAAAAACACTTATTAAATACCTATTTCTATTTTTCTCTCTGGTATTTTGTCCCTGTTAGAGTAAAGAGGAAGTGATGGCTGTGCGACTACGAGAGGCCGACAACATTGCTGCCATGGCTGAACTCCAACAACATATCTCAGAGCTCGAGATTCAGGTACAGGACAAGTTTGACAAGAGATCAAATACTTTGATGGGAGAGCGATGGGGACCACAGTGGGACGGCCAAGGCTCTAAAGTGCTAGATCAGGGTAGCTGTCGTCGAAGGCATAGGCATGAGTACTTTGATAATTACATGTTTAAACTAATAAACTTTATCATAAATCACATGAACCAAATGTGATCATTCTGAATGGTTTCAGCCCCACATAAATCTGAGGTAGATCACTGCTCCATGGAAAGTAGCTATTTTTGACAAAGGCTTGGGTCCCCTGGGCTCCACTGTTGCAATGTTATTTGAGTGTCTGAAAAGCAGTATATGCATCTGTTGGTAAAATTGTCATTAACTTGTCAACAAATCAAGCGGCATGGTGGCGCAGTGGTTTGCGTTTTTACTTCACAGCAAGAAGGTTCTTGGTTCACTTCCACCTCCAAGCCTTTCTGTGTGGAGTTTGCATGAGCTCCACTGTTGTCACTATAACAGCCGCTTAATCCTCCTCATTGTTGAAAAAATTGGACTCATTCAAACTTACAGTGTACGCTGCATTGAAAATAGTTTTCACTCCAAAGTGATACTAAGCCGCGGAAAGCTCTTATGTGCGCGTTTTCCCGCATCGCCCCTTCTAAGTAAAAGGACAAAATCACTTCCTGTCCTACGACCCTTGCCACGCATGGTTACAACCCAGCAATAAATAAAGATTACTCCCTCACTTAATTACTTAAATTCTGAACCTTCTTGGTCTAGAATTTGTAAATGTGTTCTCTTTAGTTCTTACTAGCATGAGTCTGATGGTGTCAACAAAGATGAATAGTTTTTGAGAGATCAGTATTTTTTAAATGTATATCAATTTTCCATCAGCCCCTGTAATAAACTCTTTCAGGCTGTAACTAAACAGACACGCAACAAGATAAAGACACTGTTTTGCATTAAAATCTCAAACATGCGAGATCAGTACAGATAAAAGCTGGTTTCCTTTTCGAGGATGAAATCTGATTAATTGGTTTTGACGCTGAAGCTGGCCATGTGTTACATATGGGTTTAGAAAAGAAAAAAAAGGTTTTAAAATCTGGTTTTAAAATCTGGTCTGAATCAGGCAAGAACCAGTTGGACTGGGGAAACACACAATTATTGATGTGTAAACAGTGAAGCTTCACACACAACAAACAAGACAGTAAAGATTAGTTTGTTTACAGTGGGACAAGTCATTTAGCCAAATCATGAGTTTTAGTTAAAGTTGAGGAAAATTAAAACCAAAGAAATATTTACTGGGCAACTATTATGGATCAAAGTCAGATTGTTTTTTTTCTTAGATTCTAAGTGTTGAATAGGTGTTGATTGCCTCATGGCATATATTGCATTGTTTATGGGATTGAAACATGAATATTGTCTCCTGTCTACTCGGTCCATTCATTCATTTATTGAATCTGCTCAGGTAGAAAAGTTATTTATTCTAATTTCACAGTTGAAGCCTTTATATCACTGTTAATGTATGTTGTTTCAGTCATAAACAACGTATACAACTTTCATACATCCCCTGAACAAATGGACTTGGGCATTAGGTGTCTATCGCAGTAGACTTTTGTGGCCTTACTACAAAAACAAGTTTGTAGGAAGGCTGGTGTATTTTTAACCATTCCCCCAGTGTGGTCTGAGGTTTCTATGCACTGAGCTGTTCACACCACCGCCCTTCTGTTTCTATAATCTGCATATTGAACTCTTAGCAAAGGCCCCTCGCATAAGGGAGTTTTTTTTCAAGTATAGGTGTGACTTTTTGGCCAGCTTTATCATCAGGTTTTGAAAAGGGCATTTTTGAGGTGAAATCAGTGTGTTTTAGCTGGTTGATGGTCTGCGGTTTGGTTTACCTGCTGCAGTTGTGGCTGAAAGCTTCAGCTTACAAGAAATTGCCAAATAACCACTTTTATCTTAGATTATCTGTAACTCTGGCGTGGTGATTAAAGGTGAGAAGAAGTTTAATGTTTAGTTCAGACAGAGAAAGTCTGAATTAGAGTTTAATAATGGTCTTGGGTTTATTTATATATATACACAAACCAGCGAGTGGTGTTGTATTTTTTCTAACATTACTAGTTGCAACAGCAGGTGAAAAAACAACAGTTTGCTACGCCAAAAATAACGGTAATCAAGCAGGAAAAAATTGAAACCGCTAAAATTGGTTTGCGTTGATAACACGGTTAATTGACTGCACTATTCTATTTTCTGAATCAATCTATACTCAGTAATTAGGGTTAGGTGAGGGTGAAAAGGCTGCTGCTGCGTTCACAGATGACAAACCACTTCCTCCACAGTCAGAGCCAGAGTCTCAGAGCTCCACCATCACTGATTTATACTTCAGACACGTGTCGTCGAGGATTTGGCATCTGTGTTCGTCCAAAGTTGATCGCTCTTTTTATATTTGATTGACTTGTTTCATATGCTCAGCTTATATTACAGAAAATTTTTATTATCTCTCGGCCTCGTGATCGTGGCAATATCTGGTGATCTGACTTGTCCACACACACTTCTCACATGTGACATCAGTCGCACCTAATCCTGACCCAAACTCATGAAGTCAGCAGTTGCACTTTTAACCGTTGTCGTTTTTTGTTTGTGTGAATTATTTTGGTGTTAAGTAGTGTGCATGTGTCTTGAGGTAATGCTAAGCTGCATTTTTTCATTTGCTAATTTTCACCCACATTGTCTACTAAAAGTATATACATAAAACAAGTATTTCACTACATTATTCAATCAAAAGTGTGTTTTTATTGTTTGTGTTGCTACAATGTGTTGAGCGTGTCTTGTAAACCTTGTGCTGCAAGATAAATTCCCACAATATTTGAACAGAGTATGTGTAGGAGACTTCAGAGAGGGAGGGATACACACGTGAACCTCGCCAGTGTTTCTTACTTACGTTATGAACCAAATGTTTTGCTCCACAGAAGGAGGAGGGGAAGGTGCAGGGGCAGCTGAACCACACAGACTCCAGTCAGTACATCAGGGAGCTGCAGGAGCAGATAGTGGAGCTCAGACAAGAGGTGAGTCCACAACTTCCAATTGTTACAAGAAAATACTTCACAAATGAAAGAATGATATTCGCCCTTTATCAGACCTGTTGGATTTAAGGCCTGGAGGCCAGATCCAGCCCTCCACACAACCTGGTTAGGCCCACAGTACATTTTACAGATGTGATGTTGAATTGGGTACAATCTGTCTTTACAGCAGCTGCAGTTCATGAATGCACAATGCTCTATGCAAATAAATACAATCAAAAACAAAAGAAGGAAGCAATGAAATGCTCTTTCTTTTTGCATTCAAATCAATATACTTCAAATCTGTGACCAACTGTATTACATGTGATTATTATACGGCTCCTCACAGCAGCAGTAGAATGCTCCATTGATTTGAATGTAATTTCAAAACGTTCTACCGGTCATTATTTTCTATAACGGACCTCTCAAAACAATAATGACCGCTGCCCATGGCAACGCACTCTCTGCTTGTCTTTCAAATGCGTGGATAACTCCGCAAGTAGTTCCGGCCACTCCGGAGCTAGCCACGCTCAATCAACACACTTAAATGTTAATCGGAGAATACTTATACATATACATTCTTCACACACGTGCACGGAAATTTTCAGAATTTTCTGGTCTTGTCTTCATGACAAAAATACTATTTCTCTGCGTCAAAAAGCGATCGTGAAAAACCCGGAAGTAGTTCTGGCCGCTCAATAAACGCAAATGCCAATCAATCAACGCAATGAAATGTTAATCGGAGAGTAATTTATACATATCCAGTCTTAATACAAGTGCACGGAAGTTTTCAGAATTTTCCGTTTACGTTTTCATGACAAAAACACTGATGTAATGCGAGAAAAGGCGATCCCGAAAAACCCGGAAGTAGATACCGGCACATTTTAAGATACCGGCACATTTTCGGACACATTTGCAGAGGATCGAATTATGGATTTAGGTTAGGTTTATGTATGGGTCACTCACCGCTGATGTTCAGAATTCTTTGTTCAGTTTTCATGCAGTTCCAGAGAGTTCTAGTTTGGAAGTTGCCAGCCTAACTGTTGCCCGCGGTTGCCGAGCAACCAGGGCGGAAGCAGACCCCTCCGCTGCGCGTCGGGGTCCGCTTCGCCCTGTCGGTACTTATTTTCCGATAATGACCTGTAGGCTATACATTATCCCTTACATAATATTACATTCAAGTTTACATTAAAGTTTAATACAAGTTTACTTAGTTACTTGTATTAGATTTGTGTAGTGTAACTTGAACTGAAAATTCTTATTCAGTTTATAAGTAGCTGTAATCTAATTACAGTTACTAACAACATACTCGTAAGCCCTTTACAAACAGCGCACACAAGAGTGCATCATACACTGATGTTTGTGGACAGACAGGCCTCGGTTTCAGGACGTCTGAGTGGCCTCAAAGAGACGCGAGTGGATTTCTGTGGTACACAATGCCATGATTGTGGATTTCCATTTTGAAATGATCTGGGTTTTACCTCTTCGTACCAAGTTCTTGAAGGTTTTCGTGATTTTCCGCAAAACAGGATCGTGTCCTTAATTCAGACAGAAGACATGTTTTATTGTTGATGGTAGACAAGCAATGTTGGACAGCAAGTGATAATATACTCAGGAGAAACAGAGACCTCCAATCAGCAGCTGCCACGGTGTGCTTGTAGCTTGGCCTTCAGATAGACAAAACAAGTAGTGGAAAAGTACAGGCTTCTGCATATGTAAGAATGAAGTTAGAACTTTAACCATAGTTGCTTAAAAGTGAAATCACAACAGCGTGTAGCAGCAATCACAGCGGGTTGCACAGGAGGTCACAGAGCTCGCTTCACTGTGTCCCGGACACATTTTGCTTTGACCATAATGTGTCAAAGCAATTTCACGGGCTGAAAAATGTCAAGTGGGGGTTATAAAAGTGGACCAACATTTTGTAAAGATTTATACTTATAAATATGATTATTTATTATAAAATATAAACTTAAATATATTTTGAACAAATGTATTTAGTCTTCACAAATTTGTAAAATAAAATCAAAATAACAATGAGTATTAAATTAACTGATTACCCCTTCAATGGTTTCCTCAACCTTTTGGTGGATCACTTTTTGAGTCACTATATCAACTTGAAGCTAGGAACTGAAATCTACCTCTTTGGGGCATCTCACTTGATTTTAGGCACTTTTACCGACAAACAATTTCTAAAAGCCTAAAATTACACTAATTTATTCAAAGAGTAGACATTAAGGGGTTTAGCTAATCAATAAAAGAGTATGAGGAACCTGGAAAGCATGGACCACAATCACACTACCTTAGATTCCCCGAACACAAAGCCTCAGCAGATTTGCACTTGATCTAAAGTTGAACAGATCAGCGCTAACTCCACCCCCGACACTTCCTGTGTAAGTTCAGGTCATGAAAACATACGCCATTTATATAACATACAATATGCAACAAGTTACCCACCATGCACCGTGTTATTTCCCTTCAGAAGAATCTGCACGTACGCTGCTGAGGTTTTTATTTTCCTGGACTGTTCCTCTGTATGGCATTAAATGTATCCATCCATAATATACTAGTTTTACCGGCACAAAAATACCTAGACAACATTTTCCACGTAACCTTTTAATGATTTCCTTAAACATTTTGTGGATCACTTTTTGAGCCACTATATCTACTTGAAGCTTGAAACTAAAATCTACTTCTTTGGGGCATCTCACTTGTTTTTAGGCCCTTTTACCATCAAACTGCATCAGAATCTAAACCATTTCGTAATTATGGTGGTTATTTGTGTTATTAGTGCCCCTAAATCTTAGTAGGTACAAAAAGGAAAAAAAATAGCTTTCTTCTAGGAGAGAACAGAAAAAGTATCTATCCATCAGACTTTACTGAAAAATAACATAACTGTGCTACTTAACTCCTCTACTTTGTCTATTCTATCTTTTTGTGTACATTATTGATTTAAAAATACAAATGCTAGTTGTATACCTGCTTGCATTTGCCCAAAACTAATATAAATATTGTTTTTTAACCGTTCTAGCCTGACTATACTATTAACATGCTACGCCCCCACTCTACTCAGACTTGTGTAGAATTTCCTCTTGAGTTGGCCGTAAGTTCACGGGTATTGGTAAACGTGGGCTGCTAGGACTATTTAAAGCAGGGGTGCCCAAAGTGGGGCCCGCGGGCCAAAGTTGGCCCGCCGGACCATTTCAGTTGGCCCGCCTAACATTGCCCACCTCCGTTGTAAGCTTCTAACTGCGTCCCTCAACCTCACTGAACAAACAGTGACATGTCTGAAATCGCACGGGCGCACCAACACCCTCTGAATTCAGACTGTCCAGTACTTTACTGTTGTATCGAGATACACTCCTCACTCATGGTTCACATCTACTTGCACTAAAATGTTTTTTAAAATCAAACACATCTTTCAAAACAATTGGGTGCAAGGCCCCTTTATGTTCTTTTTTTTCAGCCTACTATTATAATTTTTTTGAGCAATTCAATGTTTTATCAAATTGAGAGGATTGTGCTGGCGAACTGCCACTCCCCCTCCTCACCGGAGGGAATTGGCGAGTGGAACTATTCACCCGCGCAATCCGCACCCACCCGGTGTGTTAAAAAAGACGGACACACACACTTCAGAGTGAGTTCAAGCAGGACAAGCAGGGATCGCAGCGCACGATCCACGTAAGTAGAAGCAACAAATACCGTGCAAAACAAACCCTTCTACAACCCCATGAAAGAAGCCGGTAAGCGCCGTCCTCACTCGCGATCATTGAATGTCAGAACTTACGCGGAGTTTTATGATGCGTTCAAGAGCCCTTTGGAGGAGCGGAAACACGGACTCTTTAACAGTTACTTTGTTTTGATTGTTTATAAATGTTGTACTGTGTTTAGGCAAAACAAAACAAACTCCAGGAACAATCCATCCATCCATCCATTTTCTTCCGCTTCATCCGTTGCCGGGTCGCGGGGGCAGCAGTCTAAGCAGAGACGCCCAGACTTCCCTATCCACACACACCTCCTCCAGCTCGTCCGGGGGGACTCCAAGGCGTTCCCAGGCCAGCTGAGAGACATAGTCCCTCCAGCGTGTCCTGGGTCTTCCCCGGGGCCTCCTCCCGGTGGGACATGCCCGGAACACCTCCCCAGGGAGGCGTCCAGGAGGCATCCGGAACAGATGCCCGAGCCACCTCAACTGGTTCCTCTCGACGTGGAGTAGCAGCGGTTCTACTCCGAGCTCCTCCCGTGTGACTGAGCTCCTCACCCTATCTCTAAGGGAGCGCCCAGCCACTCTGCGGAGGAAGCTCATTTCGACCGCTTGTATCCGCGATCTTGTTCTTTCGGTCATTACCCAAAGCTCATGACCATAGGTGAGGGAGGGGACGAAGATTGACCGGTAAATTGAGAGCTTTGCCTTTCGGCTCAGCTCCCTCTTTACCACAACGGTCCGATACAGCGACCGCATCACTGCGCACGCTGCACCGATCCGCCTGTCAATCTCACGCTCCATCCTTCCCTCACTCGTGAACAAGACCCCGAGATACTTGAACTCCTCCACTTGAGGAAGGACCTCTCCTCCCACCCGGAGAGGGCAAGGCACCTTTTTCCGGTCGAGCACCATGGCCTCAGATTTGGAGGTGCTGATTCTCATCCCAGCCGCTTCACACTCGGCTGCAAACCGTCCCAGTGCATGTTGTAGGTCCTGGTTCGTTGGAGCCAACAGGACAACATCGTCTGCAAACAGCAGAGATGAAATCCTGTGGTCCCCGAACCGGGCCCCCTCCGACCCTTGGCTGCGCCTAGAAATTCTGTCCATGAATACAGTGAACAGAACCGGTGACAAAGGGCAGCCCTGGCGGAGGCCAACATGCACCGGGAACAGGTCTGACTTACTGCCGGCAATGCGAACACAGCTCTGGCTCCGGTCATACAGGGACCGGACGGCCCTCAGCAGAGGACCCCGGACCCCGTACTCACGGAGGACCCCCCAAAGGACACCCCGGGAACACGGTCGA